GATATTTTAGGAAATGCGTTGCCTTAATTATGAACATTCAATGTTGTAGTTTAGACAAGGATGTTGAGTGAATTTATTATAAGGCACTTTTATATAATATTATGTTGCTATATATAGACTAGTATGGCCCATAAATTCTAAATATGATTTGCGCATCGTGACGTATTTTTGTAATCTAAGTACGGTCTGCGTACCGTTAAGTATTTTTGTAATTTTCATTTAAAGTAAATAGTTTAGTTATTTAAATAGTTTAGTCCAAATAAGCCCATGAAGTGAGGCCCCAAAGGAGCAAGGTGGATGGAGATCCATGAAGGTTCGAGTGGGAGCTTTTCAATTATAATTTTCTTCGGACTAAGGGGCCATATTATGTCATGTTTTATTAATGCATTAGTAGATCATGCATATTAGATTTTATTTATGTTGATTGATGATGTGCTAGAGTTCACTAAATAATCACAACATAATAAATCTAGGTCCCAGTAATATTGAGATTGTTTTTCCAATTAGATACCGAACAACCCTTCGATCGTGAGTGATGAGTCTGCCTCCACAGGGTGTCACTTGTTATCTTAGGTAATTTGGGGTAGATCACGTTCTACACATTTAGTTGGTTGTGCTCAACAAGGTTACCTAAAGCGTTTAGAACCTTGAAGAAAGGGGTAATAATTAAACATGTGATGGTTAATTATTCAACCAAGAGTTACAAGAGTTGTAATCAGTAAAAAATGATGGTAAGGCATCATTCCGATCAACTATTACACAAATAAAGGATCTTCGAATCACTTAATTAAATTGGGATCAATTAATATTGAATAAAGTGCTTTAAAGTAACCTATTTAATTCATTTATGGTACTTTAATGTTATATTAAACACAAATATTAAACTTTGCCTTATTCTGTCATCGATGGGTAGCCGTAACAACAATGACAACAATATTTACAATCTTTGACCATTCCTTGAGAAGGATAGGTTGACAGGGGATAACTTTTCCAACTAGGAAAGAATGCTGAGACTTGTTCTGAAATCTGAAGGTAGAAAGATGTCATTGACACACCATTGCCTACACCTTTGCCAGTAAACGCTACTGAGGCTTAAAAGCGTAGGCATAAGAAGATTCTTGATAGGGTTGTACCTATCACGTGCTTAATGATTGCTACTATAAAGCCTGGCCTTTAAAAGCGTTTTGAAGATCAGGATGCATACACTATCATGCAATAACTCAAAGCCTTGTTTAAGAAACAGGCGCGAGTTGAAAGGTAGGAGCTCCATCGAGAGATTTTTGATTGTAAGATGGAGAAGGGTGCAACAGTTTATGATCATGTTTTTAAAATGATCGACCTAATTCAAAATATGGAGAAAATAGGGCATCCATACAGTAATGAGATGGCTACGGAAATCATTTTCCATTCACTTCTAGAGTCCTTTAATCAGTTTATCATGAACTTTAACATGTCTGATGCTAAAAAGACAATGAATGAGTTGCATGCTATGCTGGTTAGTGCAGAGAAGCAAATCCTCAAGGACATTAAGAAAGAGGTTCTTATGGTCCAAAAGTGAAAGGGGTTCAAGAAGAAAGGGAAAGGGGCAAGTGCCAAGAGCAAGGGCAAGGAAGCTGCCAAGGCTCGTGAAAAGCCCAAGGTGAATCCAAAGCCCAAGCCTGCAAGTGAAAGTGAATGCTTTTACTGCAAGAGGAAAGGGCATTGGAAGCGCAATTTCCAAAAATACCTTGACTTCCTCAAAAATAATGGAGCATCGACCTCAGGTAACATGTTATAATCATTTTAAATTTCAATTAGGTATGTGATACCAAGTTGCAGTGCTAAGATTATTCATGTTATGCAAAAACTGCAAAGAAGTGAGGCTAGCGTGGAAATAGAGCTTAAGGGTGCATGAGAAGTGTTCAAGTGGCCAGGAAAAGCTTTATAGTTTTATTTCTGATTAGTTTATCATGATTTTAGACTATTTTCGGGTTTTTTTTTATGAGACAATTTTTCAGTTTTTTGTTTGAAATACTGATTGTTTAACTTGGCATGGACAAGTGTTGATCCATGACCAAGGTAATAAATTGTTTTCATTTTTACTAGCTATGAGTTAATTTTGTTTTGTAACATTGAAATAAGTAGATCACAAAAGCATAATAGATGATTCAAAATCAACATAGTAAGGTTAAGTCACATTAACCAATAACACATCCAAAGTTACAATTGGATGGACTCCTGATCCTCATTTTTGTTATGAATCACTTGAAAATTACAAGTCATGGTAGATAAGGTTAAATGACCAAGTTACCTTTTAGTTGAAAGGGTGAAGGAGCTAATGATATTTTGGAACTCATACATATGGATGTGCGTGGACCAATAAGTTCAAAAGCTAGATATAGATTTAACTATTTCATTGCTTTTACTGACGATATAAGTAAATTTTAAATAAATTAAACTCATTACAAATTAAAAGTTACTTTTAAAGGATTTAAAGTTATCATAAAAATTATTAAAGTCACTTTCATATTAACCGTTTTTCAATAAAAATAACGTGTCTACCTTATACAACACTTAATGATATTTGTATTTTGTGAAATCTTTATTCTTTGTAATCGTTGATGTGTATTTTATTGATTTTTTTGTATATTCGAATGATTATACTCTCTCTGTATTTATTACTTGGTCCACTTTTCTTTAGAGGCCGTATATTATTAGTTTTGAAAGTGTTACCAATATTTACTAATTTTCTCCCCACTCCACTAGTGGGCTTTATATATTTGGTAATGGGCCACTTACAAAAAAACGGCCATTTTTTTTTTGGAAAGTGGACACTTAAAAAATCAGAAGGAGTACTTCTTTTTACTATACCCACTGAAATTACATGTCTTGAGAAATGAAACAAGTAAGAAAATACAGATGGAGCATTATATTACCATTATTTCTGTATTGTAACACTTTTAGTAGTTGTATTATCTCATCAATATATTTAGAGGGCGTTTGCTTAGTGTATTTTTTGAATTGGAAACGGATTCGATTAAACTGATACTGTTACCGTGTGTTTGGTTAGAAGGCATGGTAACAATTATCATTACCTAAGAGTAATGGTTACCCCTCATTTGGTACCTCTCAAAAACTTAGGGTAGCAAATACCCTTACCATCCTCTTAAAAAATACCATTTTCATGGTTAAACCAAATAAATGAAAACGTAATAATTAAATGATTCCTTTCTCCCCTCTTTTTTGTTTCCTTTCCATTCCGTTTCCATTACCTGAACCAAACGCCTCTTTAAACCTTCTCATAATTCTATGTCTCTACTAGTAATAGTAAGAGAAATGTTTGAAAACGATCCTTATTAAATCTCTACATAAGGATACGAAGAACAGCATGATGAGACTCATGAGAGAGAAAGAATCAATGTAGTACACTTGTAAATGGGTTGAGAATCTTGAGGTAGGAGAGAGTTTGTATGAGAGGCGTTGAGGGAAAGTAGAAGAAAAGAGGACGAAGGGTAGCATAAATTAGGAAATATTAACTCATCAGATTATAAAATTATTGTAAAAAAACATCTAATAAAAAGATAAAATGATGTAAAAATGCCAAAAAAATCTAGTCATCGGTGGAAATCTGGCCAGAGGTAGTATTGTATACAGCGTAACATTTTACCTCTTATTAGGTAGTTTCTTGTAATATTTTTTATGATATAGTTTCTCACAAAAAATGAATTTTATCAAAAAATTTCTAACAAAAAATCAATTACAATTCATAATTTACGTACTTACTCATATCATTATTTACCAAAAATAAAAAAATAAAAAATATATATATATATATATATATATATATATATATGTATGTATGTATACTTATGATTCAACAATAGCTAGGGTTTGACTGTTGAGTAATTAAAACAACACAGATAACTATTTGAAAAGAAAGATCATTGTTACTCATACTACTACTAACTTTTTTTTTAAAAAAAAAAAAAACTACTATCTACCAGCTAACTGTAATAATTTTTACCTTATGTCATCGCCAATTGATCTAACTAGCCTAGCATCACAACTGTAAATTAAAGGATAAAGACAAACAAATCAAACTAGCCAATTTTATGAATTCAATGGAGTACAAAACTTATACGAAATAAATAGTCATGATTAAACAAGCTAGAGAAGTTTAGTTTTTTCTAAGCTTTAGATGATCTTGGATTTAAATCGGACGACTTCAATGGAACCCAATTCTCCATTCTACCTTGGGTCTCAAGATCGACCCGGGGATTTCATTACTCCGACTCGTCTTAAAAGTGATAATTATGATGATTACACAATTGACACCCAAGTACTTCAACCACTTATATCGATCCCTAAGTTTCTAATCATATGAAATATTGATCATTCTCTATAGAATCTATTGCGTACCTTTTTCCATAAAATAACTGTGGCATATCTGAGTAATTTTTAAATCTATAACAACCAATGTCAATGGAGCACGATTTAATTTCATAAAGCCACAAGTTGATTTTTTAAACTTCCCTTCTAATTATAATACGAGCTCTTTCCCAAATTAAAGTCAAGAAGAACCGCAATTCCCAAATTGCAGCCAAAGTTTTAAGTTTTCCCATTCTACCGTCTACGTAAGCACTGGTTAAAAAACCGGTTTTTTTTTTTTCCGGTCCAGGGTAAACCTCTACTTGAAGTAGCGGTTTCTTTGCAATAAACCGCCACTTCAAGTAGCGGTTTCTTAGTTTAAAACCGCTACTTGAAGTAGCGGTTTGTTTACAAAAAACCGCTATTTTATGTAGCGGTTTATTTTGGAAAACCGCTACTTCAAGTAGCGGTTTACTTTGAAAAACCGCTACTTGAAGTAGCGGTTTACCCTGGACTGGTTTTTTTTTCAAAATTGCATAATCACTCAAAAAAAAAACCTGCAAGTTGTGTACCTGTAAAACATGAGATATATAGCATATTTTCAACACAACCACCATAAATAACAAGTTTATGAAGATCTAAGGAAGTCAAAATTGCAAAGTCGAATATTTTTCAATTGATTAAATATAACAAAATCCAATTCTAAGCATTTACAAAAAAATTAGTTTAGTTCCAAAATATACACTTAGCTCGGGCGTTGCTTCTTCCCATGAGGTGACGATGAAGATGATGCAGCTGTCTCCTCTGGAATGTCATCCAGGCCAACTCCAACCCCAGACGTAGTGTTGCTACGCCGTCGGTTTCTCTGATACTGGCGATGCACTAGTGGAGGAGATGTCATGATAGTATGCTGAGAAGGAGTCGGTGGACGGAAGGCACGTGCTGAATGGCCTCCACGATGAGGTGGTGGTCTGATCGGCATAGTGTGCACAGTAGAAGATGAAGACGTGGACGGTCGAGGCTGCTGAATAAGGTGTGACTGCCCCACCCTAGACAAGGTTTGGCCACAAAATGATGTAAAACCCTGCATCGTCTGTATGGCAAATGGTATAGCCGTCTCTGGTGGCAAGTGGGAGATGGTCTCAGTAGCTCCCGATAGCTGGACGTGCAAATCAGCAAATGCATGTGCCTACATTTAAGTGTAGTTTTAATGTTAGTAAAATGAAATCAAAAACGTAAGAACTAGATTGAAATGAAGTGAAGTTCATACAAGCAAGAGGTCAGAGGTAGCTGGCTGGTAATGACTCGGGGGGCGCTCCTGCGAAGGTGGAGTAATGACCAGTCTCGTGATGCGACGGTACCAAGCCATGTACTCTGTCATGGCCGGGGAAGAAGTCCCAGTGAACGGGTATCCCTGGACGACTAATGCCTCTCGTCGACTCCACTCGTGTACATGGTCCGAATGCCGAATCTCCCAATTACGCTGTCCCCTTCGATCCTTCCTGTGTAGAGCAACGTCCGTGTCTACATCCTGTGGGATCGGCTGGTCTAACCCGAACTGACGAAGGACTCGGTCTGGGAGGTGGAACTCAACGACGTCAAAGCATATCAGAGGTGCCCGTGAACGCCAAATGTGCATGTCTGAGCGACAAATCTCCGGAAGTCGATCCATCACCGCCTCAGTATATGGCTGCCAAATCATCTAATTCCAAAAACAAGTATGTCAACATGTATATGACTAACATAATGGAAGAAATACAATGCACAAAAAAAAAAGAAACACCGATTGTACCTGGTCCTCGCGCTGATGGTCAAACGCATCTCTGTAGTATGGTAGTCCGGAAGCAGTATGCGCACACGATAGATGGACACGTAACCACCTGTAAAGACATGTTAATAATAATTCTTGAAAGATAGAATTGTAAGAACATGAACTTGAAGCAAACATTGTACCTGCACGCCAAAGGGTCAACACCTCGCTGATGCTGAGTCCCCAAAATGTCATCCTCATCCTCAGCCTCAGGGTCCTCCTGTGGCGGATCTCGAGGCCTCCTAATGTATGGTCGGCCAATAGTAATATGCTCCCACGACCACAACTGTAGTAGGATGAGCGGGCCTCCAATCTGTCTTGAATCTCGCTGACATCCTCGACATAGCTGCCGATACAAAAAACCAAGAGTCGCACTCCCCCAGCTGTAGGTCGAAGCTGTCTCCCAGTCTCGAAGGAACGGCAAGTAGTAGAGTGACACAGCATCGCCACTCTTGTCGGCGAACAGAATAGATCCCATGAGAGTGAGAATGTAAGCACGGCTATGGCGCTGAACTGTCAAGTCATCAGCTCCCTCTGGCATCTGTGAGAAGTGACGTCTGAGCCACGTCAACTTCAAAGTAGATCCCTCCAGAAACGGCTTACCGTTATCATCATGGCCAGGTCGAACTCCCAGCAACTCCTCAACTAGGTCATGCCATCCCTCAAATGGAGGTCCAATGACAGGAGGGCCGTGCACTCTCAGACCTAACAGGACGGAGACATCCTGTAAAGTAATGGTGGCCTCACCTACCACTAGGTGGAAAGTATGTGTCTCCTGCCTCCACCTCTCAACCAACGCCGTAAGAAGAGATCGATCAAGCAAAAACCCTCCTCCCAAAATCCTATGTACACCGTAAAACCCAGCAAGCCTCACGTACTCTAGTACTCCGCCATCTACCCTCCACTCACGTCCCACGCTGACCATATGCTCCCTAACTGAGAGAACTCTATCAGCTACGCCACTCCAAACATCGTGGCTCCTATGGGAAGTCTGCAAGCGTAGAACAGATGGATCAACTGGGCCTGGACGAATCACCGGCTCCATGGGACCTACACGATAACAAAAAATTGAATTAATGTTAAGCGTTCGAGAAAAAACATAAATATTAAACAAGAATATATAATTAATCATGTTACCCAGATGATCCAAATCCACCAATAAGAGTAGGACATGTCTTCTTGTTATGCCCAGGTCACCGACAAACACTGCATGCCTTCTTCACACGATTGGGACGCTCATCCATTTCATTTTGAATTCTAGTGGACCGTCGGCCTGGGCCTCTTTTCAAATCTGGGTTGGCAATAGTAGTAGGACCATTGTAAGCTGACCAGTGGCAAGGATCAGGAACTGGTCCGAAACACTTCGCGTATGAACGCCTATATTCGGCGGTCATGAAAAAAGAATCCACAAAGTCTGCATGTGATAGGCTTCTATGACGACAAACTGCTAGTACATGAGAGCATGGGAGCTTGTATATTCTCAATTTCTCACAAGTACATGTCTTGCTCAACAGATTCACAGTGTGGGAGTTACCACCTTTACCAGCTTTTCTTCTTCCACGACCGGTCCTAACCTGATACAATCCGATGGCATCATAGTCAAAAGCAACAACCTCATGGTGCGTGGCTTTCTCCATGTTGGCTTCTATTGTCTTCTTAGCCTTTTCCGATAACTCATGGCCCTCTTCAAGTCTTCTTTTACTCCAACTTCTTCTAGTTGCAAAATAGGAGTTAACCCGGAAAAAGGTCATTTGCACTAAAGCGGTTATCGGGAGACATCGAGCCACCTTTAAGACTCCGTTGAAAACTTCCGACATGTTTGTAGTCTTCACACCAAACCTGAAACCACCATCATGATGAATGGACCACTTACTGTACGGAATTTCCATCAAGTACCTACGGGCCTCTACATTCAAGTCACCAATTTTGTTGATGTAGTAATCAAACTTCTTCTTCTGCCTTGCAGTAGCTGCTTTGCCAAAGAGGTTCTTTATGACGACACTTTTAAATTTTGAGTTCACATTAGAAGCCAAGTGTCGTGTACAGTACTTGTGGTAGGCATTGGGCTCTTCCCAACCACTTCCAACTTCTTCCATTGCTGCTAAAATACAAGCCATGAACCAAGACCAACTATCATTGTTCTCTCCTTCGACAACCGCAAAAGCAAGGGGGAATAGTTGAAAATTAGCATCCGTTCCCATAGCAATGAGTAGAGTGCCTTTGTATTTGCCATATAAATGAGTGCCATCAATGGTGATAAGGGGTCTGCAGTGACGGAATCCATCAATACATGGCTTGAATGCCCAAAAGACTCGTTGAAAAACATGTGTTCCAGGAACCGTACACTCTAACAACCTCCACTCAACAACAGTTCCAGGATTTGATTCCTTGAGAGCTTGCATGTACTTAGGCAACTGTTCATATGAACCCTCCCAATCCCCATAAATGAGTTTTATTGCCTTTTGTTTCGCTAGCCATGCTCTCTTGTAGGTTATTTGGAATCCATCAAATTTCTCTTTCACAAGTTGCACCATTGTCTTGATTTTCAATGAAGGATCAACGCGAATGACATCTAGAAGAGCATTGCAAACGAACTCGGAAGTCAGTAGCTTATGATCTCCCGAGTCGATGTCACCAACACAGTTACTTGCATGAGGGCCGTTGTACCTCACAATTTTAAACGTAGAGAGTGTTGGATCTTTCACTCCTCTAAGCCTCCACGAACAACTACATTGTTCTTTCCTCTTGCACTCAACAACATATTTCTCTGGCTCTGCCTCCACAACTCGAATTGTTTGATTTCTAGCTATGGAGTAAGATTTCACAGCATCTTTCAGTTGTTGCAATGAGTCAAACTGCTGACCAACCTCAAATTCTCCCCCATTGTTATATGTCTCATTTCCTAACCAAGACATCCATGAGTTATTCAAACGAGGATCAACTTGCGCCACTTCATTGAAGTCTGAAGTGGGGGCGCTTCCTTTAATTGCCTTATCACGAGCTTCAATTACCTCTTCATCATCATCTTCATCAGTGTCATTCATCTCTGCATCGCCAAATACATCAACATTGTTTGGGTCAAGAGAATCAAGAATGCCTTGTGGTTGTGTGCTTGTCGAGGTTCCAACATTAGGCGATGAGGCCGGAGACCTAAACTGTGAGAGATGGTCATTGACATAATGTGGATCAACAAGCATTCTTGTGAATGACCCTATGCCCACACTTTGAACACCAGTGGAAAACGGTTGATCCACACTACCAAAAAAATCCATCCCCGGAAAGGAACCAGTGTTAGTTTGCACAACTGGCTCCTTTGGAACTTGTTCAATGAACAATTGCATTGCAACAGAAGAACTCTGAGTCACAGCAATCCACATAGCTCTAACAGCGTTGTCGTCATTTAACGGAATTGCAACATATGCCCCAGCCATAGGATAACGCATAACCACCTTCAACTCCACACCTCTAGGATCAACACTCAATTCTTCATATAGCTTGTTCAGAACTTGTGAATATGTCATCGCAGAATGTACAAACACAAATTTTTGATTCCCACCCCTATACGTTATATCGCTATCTTTGTGGACAATTTCTCCACCCCAATAGCAATATAGAGGGTAGTTCGGAACCTCCATGTTTCATTCTAGAAAAGACCATTATTAATCAAAGATATTAGATTGCAAAAATTCATTAACAGTGTGGCAATGTCCTAACATCAAGCAAGCAAACTACACAATTATAGCAACCTAAACTGAGCTATGAAGGTCTTAATACCTCTTGAAGCTCAACATGGGCATAAGTCATGACTACATGTACTTTGAGCTCATGTACTTTGTGTATAGAAGCTCTATTTTCACTTTCAAAATCAGCAATTATAGCAACCTAAACTGAGTAATGTGATCGAAACCATTAATAATTCTACAAGGGTTATATGTAAGGTAAGTAAATCAACAACAACAACCAAAACCAACCACAAACATACATACAATTCTGAAACTCAATAACAACAACAATAAACAAGAACACTAACAACAACAACACAACCAAAACCGAAACTCAATAACAACAACAATAAACAAGAACACTAACAACAACAACACAACCAAAACCAACAACAACAACACATACATACAATTCTGAAACTCAATAACAACAACAAACTCAATAACAACAACTAACCCAATAACTGAATACAAAAAATAATTAGGGCACTTACCACAAACAAGAAGATCAGCACGTTTCTTCTGAAATTAGCGAAGCCGACCACTAAAGTCGAACCCTCGGCGTCAACAGCGGCGGCCTTCGTTGCTGAGGAATGCTCCGGCGGCGTCGGTGGATTCCTTGGCTGCGCCGGCTTCCGTTGAAGGAGGTGTGATTTTGGTGGAAGGCGTGGATGGGATTTTGGTGAGAAGACGAAAATGAAAGCGGAAAGTGAAATCAGGAAATTATACCTGCTAGAAAACCGCTACTTGAAGTAGCGGTTTATTAAACAAAAACCGCTACTTGAAGTAGCGGTTTATTAAAAAGAAACCGCTATCTGAAGTAGCGGTTTATTAGTAAAAACCGCTACTTCAGGTAGCGGTTTTGCTGTAGACTGGATTTAAAATTTCTTCCCCCTGAACCGGTGACGTGGACGGTACTTTGGGAATTCTTAAAACTTTGGCTACAATTTGGGAATTGCGGTTCTTCTTGACTTTAATTTGGGAAAGAGCTCTTATAATACTTACTTCGTATATCCTTATTTAATGCATGATACATACAATAATATGTACTCCGTATTATATATAAAGTCACAATTTTATATAGGACAATTTTGCAATGACTACAATAATATTGTAGCCATTATAATTATTAAATCTTAGTCGTATATTTGTCAGTATACATTCCAGGTCATTCCTTAAGTTTATTTAGAACATTTTTTTTAAATTTCATAGTAAATTTGTGGTTTCTCTTTTGCATGAAAAACCATCAATTGCTATATCCCCTTCCTCTCTATAGAGACTCTAATCCTCATGATAGTCCAAAATTAAAACTTTATCTTCCAAAATTCTATCAATTGTCATCTCCTCTGCTTCCTTTTTTGTGATTTAATGCTACAATGAATTTATCGTATGCTATTTGATTATAATCGATTTAATCATATTGACTATACTGACTAAATTAAAATATTGGTAATACTTATAAACTGAATATGATTATTAGTAGGAAATATTGCCAAAAATAATACAACCTTTGATGCGTGCATCAATGTGAACGATGAGCATGTTGAAGAATTATTCCAAGAAAGTCAAGAAAGCATGAATCTATACTTGGAAGCTTCTTCAATAGGTCAAACTTACTATCGGGGGCATCAAGACAAAGCCACGCTTTGTATGGTGGCGTTCTTGGGAGTTCTTGAAGCTTCTTGATAGTTCTTTAAGGTTTCTTTAAAAGCTTTCTTAGGTTTTTGCTTACAAGTTTTTACCTTTCACTTGAAAGGGTTTTTCTTGTTTTAAGCACTTAGGATTTCTAATTGCATTAGGAATTGTTTTAGTCTAGTAGGCGTCAATAATAGCTTGGAGTGCAAGCTTGAGTTAGGATAAAATAGGCAAGTTTTATCTTAAGAGTAGTTAGAGTTTAAGTAGGATTAAATAACTAAATCAAAGTTATCTAAACTTGATTAAGTTATGCAATCCGTGGGTTTTTGTTAGGGGATTAGAATTCTAATTCAAGTGGGATTAGGATAATTGATTGAGTTTATAAATATAGGGTTGTAATCTTCGAATAATATACAAGTTTAATCATACATTCATAATAATATTTCTTATTGCTTTTGTTTAAGTTGGATTACTTAAATTCTTGATTGGTGGATTCCAATTTGCTGTTTTGTTTGTTTTAGTTAAAACAATCACCTAGGTTGATTAATTAGGTGGATTCTTGATTAATTAATCTAAGTTTCTTGCTTAATTCTTGGTGAATTTTCTGTATAGAATTAGGTTAGATTCATATCTTTGTGAGGCTTAGTTTTCGGACTAAAAATCACATCATCTTGGTATCAGAGCACAGTTACGGTAGAAAATAAACTGGTAACGTTTGGCTGGGAATTTTTGAGTGATTCTTTTTGCATTAGTCTCTAAAAACGTCTAGCTATCACCATATAAAATTTCGTAGCTTTTGGTTGAGTAACGAACTCTGTACAGCCTTAAACTTTTGGTGTTGTTGCACTGGGTTGTGGTTGGGAGTCCGGTTTTTGTTTGCTTCAAGATTCCTTCAAGATTTGATCTTTTAATCAAGATTTTTGCATAAACAAACCTGGTTTGTGTAGGAGCAATGAGTGACGAAGAAATCCCAGGGATTCCAAGGGGTTTGAACCTTGATCAAGCGCATAACTTGCGGAGGGATCGTCAAATAGAGCGATTGTCACAACAATTGCAAGAAGTATTGGCTAGGCTTGACGAACGTGACAAAACTTCATCTTCAAGGAAGAACAAATCAGTTGCAATTTCTAGTTCAAGTGAAGACGAATATGAAAGGAGAAAAGCAAGTAGATCACGCCATAAAGATTCATCTTCGAGTGATGAACCTAGAAGGCATAGACGGAAGAACAAGGCCAAAGATGATGACCGAAATATAAGGTTAGATTTTCCGGAATTCAATGGTAGTATGCTAGACCCCGAAAAATATTTTGAGTGGGTTAGAAGAGCCGAAACACTCTTTGATTACAAGGAGTATGATGAACGAAAGAGGTGCAAACTTGCTGAATTAAAACTCACAGGTTATGCGAGTTTATGGTATGATAATCTCAAGAAAAAGAGACGCAAGGAGGGACGATCCAAGATCACTACTTGGACACAATTGCAGAAATATATGAAGCGTCAATTTGTGCCCCATGAGTACGTGCAAGAAGTGTATCTCAAGATGCAGACTTTTAAGCAAGGAAATCAATCCGTGGAGGCTTATTTGTGTGAGTTTGAGAAACTATGTTTATTGTGTGATTTAGAAGAAATTCTAGAGCACAAAATAGCACGTTTTATTGCAGGTTTGAACGAAAATGTTCAAGAGAAGATTGAATTGCACGAATACTATTCGTTTGAAGAAGTATGCAAGGCGGCCATTAAGGTTGAAAGACAATTCAAGGCCAAGAAGACCTCAAGTGTGAAACCGTTCACACGCACGTTCACAAAGGCTAGTGACAAGCCTACCTTTGATAGGACTTCTCCTAATCCGTATGCTAAAGATAACAAACCCAGAAACGAAGCTAGCAAGAAGGTGACCGAAGATAGAAAATGTTTCAAATGTGGGAGTGTTGGCCACATAGCAAGCAATTGCTACTCAAAACGCACTATGACGGCTCAAGAATGGGAAGAAGAGAAAGCTAGGTGCGAGGGAAATAGTGACATGGAGGTTGTGGTCGAGAAAGAACGTGATTTTGAAGAAGAGGAGGGTAGTGCCGAAGAGGTTGATGGTGAAACGCAAGGAAAGAGCTTGGTTCTAAGGAGAGCTCTTCACTCTAAACCTATGCCCGTTGAAGAGAATCAAAGAGAGAAAATCTTTTTAACAAGGTGCAAGGTGGAAGATCGATTGTGTGACGTAATAATAGACTCGGGAAGTTGCACAAATGTGGTGTCTACAACTTTGATCAACAAATTAGAGTGGCCTACAACCGATCACCCAAAACCTTACAAGCTACATTGGCTCAATGATGCTAGTGACGTGAAGGTAACGAAACGAGCCCTAATCACCTTTTCAATTGGCAAATATCATGATAAAGTTTTATGTGATGTATGCCCTATGGATGCTTGTCATATCTTATTGGGTAGACCATGGCAATATGATAGATTTGTCAAGTTTAATGGTAGGACAAATGTGTATATAATTCGAAAAGGAAAGGGGGAAAAATCATATGCATTGAAACCACTTGTTGATCATAGAATTAACCCTAGTTCAAAAGGTGCATATTTAATTGGGGAAAAGGAGTTGGAGAAAGAGATCAACAACAACAATATAGTATATATTATGGTGGCTAACGATGTGCAAGTGAATGAAAGTAAACAAGAAAAGAGGCCCGTGGAATTAGAAGTAGTATTGCAAGAGTATTGTGATGTTTTTCCTAGTGAATTACCACCGGGATTACCACCAATTCGTGGTATTGAACATCAAATTGATCTTATTCCGGGAGCTCCACTACCTAACAAGGCAGCATATAGAAGTAATCCGGAAGAAACAAAGGAAATGCAACGTCAAATAGAGGAATTGATGCAAAGAGGCTACGTGAAAGAGAGTATGAGCCCATGTGCCGTGCCTACATTGTTAGTTCCAAAAAAAGATGGGAGTTGGCGTATGTGCATTGATAGTAGGAGTGTGAACAACATAACCATCAAGTATAGATTTCCTATACCTAGACTTGATGATTTGTTAGACGAATTGCATGGTTCAAAGCTATTTTCCAAGATTGATCTTATGAGTGGCTATCATCAAATACGCATGAGGGAAGGAGATGAATGGAAGACGGCTTTCAAGACTAAAATCAAGTACATGATAAAGCTACACGCACAAGTTAGAGCTAGGATTGAACGTGTCAATGAACTCTACAAAGCACGAGCTAACAAGAACAAAAAGCCACAAAGTTTTGAAGTTGGCGACTTGGTGTGGCTACACTTGAGAAAAGAGAGATTTCCTAACAAACGAAAGAATAAATTGATGCCAAGAAGTGAGGGGCCGTTCAAGATTATTGAGAAGATCAATGAGAATGCATATAAGCTTGAATTGCCGGGAGAATATGGTGTAAGCGCAACATTTAATATTGGGGATTTGGTGAAGTATTTGCCAGATGGTGCTATTGAAGATTTGAGGGCAAATTCTTTTGAAGAAGGGGAGGATGATGCGTGCATCAATGTGAACGATGAGCATGTTGAAGAATTATTCCAAGAAAGTCAAGAAAGCATGAATCTATACTTGGAAGCTTCTTCAATAGGTCAAACTTACTATCGGGGGCATCAAGACAAAGCCACGCTTTGTATGGTGGCGTTCTTGGGAGTTCTTGAAGCTTCTTGATAGTTCTTTAAGGTTTCTTTAAAAGCTTTCTTAGGTTTTTGCTTACAAGTTTTTACCTTTCACTTGAAAGGGTTTTTCTTGTTTTAAGCACTTAGGATTTCTAATTGCATTAGGAATTGTTTTAGTCTAGTAGGCGTCAATAATAGCTTGGAGTGCAAGCTTGAGTTAGGATAAAATAGGCAAGTTTTATCTTAAGAGTAGTTAGAGTTTAAGTAGGATTAAATAACTAAATCAAAGTTATCTAAACTTGATTAAGTTATGCAATCCGTGGGTTTTTGTTAGGGGATTAGAATTCTAATTCAAGTGGGATTAGGATAATTGATTGAGTTTATAAATATAGGGTTGTAATCTTCGAATAATATACAAGTTTAATCATACATTCATAATAATATTTCTTATTGCTTTTGTTTAAGTTGGATTACTTAAATTCTTGATTGGTGGATTCCAATTTGCTGTTTTGTTTGTTTTAGTTAAAACAATCACCTAGGTTGATTAATTAGGTGGAT